GAACAGTCGGCACGGAACACGGCTGTCAAGGGATGCCTAAGAGGAGAAACGGAACTTAGCCACAGAACATCAATGGTCAAGCGTCAAGAAATGACAGGTAGACCAGTTCGCGCTATTTCGGAATGAACGAACCAACAACAAAATAAAATACACAATTAAAACATTGTCATTCTATTTATTTTTGGACATTTTTACTGTGAAGAACAATTAAAAATAAAGTGCTTTCCTCAAATTGTTTTTGTGCAAAGTGTGTGACAATAAAATCCACATGGTTTACAATGAAAATGTGACGGTAAACTTGGTATCGGTTATAAGAGATGGCGCCGTATGCGGGCTTAGTGAGTTTTTTTCATAAATAAGTAAAATATCTATTTTACTTATTTTTTTTTTGTTTTTTTTTTTTTTGGATTTTTTCGATTTATTATCCTAGGATGGACAAAGACAAATCCAATAGAGCTAAAATCATAAACATCAGTCCAGCCGTTCTCGAGGTATAAGTACTCAAATACCAACACAACTGTGTTTTATATATATAGATAGATAGATCTTACCTTTCTGATCAATAACTACCATGGGCACAACATAATCTTATGACTAGTGTTTGAAATACAGGTGGTCAAGAAATGTACACATTTTATATCCTATTCACAATCTGTAGTCCAAAGGTACAGGTAAATTTATCATCTTTCCCTGCCAAATAGCATTGAAAGGTGATAAATTTCACCTGTACCTTTGGACTACAGATTATGAATAGATAATATATGCATTAACATCTACCTGTCACCTAATAATATATCAGGATGGACAGGTATCATCTCGCTCAGGTGACAGGTAGATGTAAATGCATATAAAATGTATACATTTCTAACGCCCAATTTCATAATAGAGAATTAAAAGTTACTTTAGCTAAATAGACTTTTAGGATAGAATTTTTCAACTAAAAATGGAGCTTTAAATTTAAAGTTTACTTTAAGTTGAATAGAGAGTTATTGGAACTAATGAATACTGCCTCGCAGTATTAAGGATCTACGTTATTTTATTAGTGCATCAGCACTATTTTTCCAAGAAAAAAACAGTTATTGGAAGACTGTAGTAGTTGCTAGAGTATTACCTTATTTTGTATTCATAATTTTGACAGCTGATAGCTATGTTTATAAATTTCAACCTCAAAAAGTGTTTATTTTTGTTTGTGATTTTCTGCCGATACCCATTTTTCGATGCTACCCACAGTAAAATGGAAAACTACTGTAAAAAATAAATTTTCCAAGTAAAATTACGTCACCTTCGAACAGCGAAACGTCAAAGTCGTCCAAAATGTCAGAAATTTAAAATAAGGGAAGTTTACTGCCTCGCACTAACCATACACAAATAAAGACAAGCAGTAACCTTATTAAGGGAATCCTTATTTTTAGACCCAAATGCGCATGCGTAGATGTCAAAATAAGGCTAATTTAAATACAGCTTGTCCTTATTGCACGTCCAATAACTCTCTATTATGAAATTGGCCGTTAGACATTAAACTACCTGTTTTTCAAAGGCTAGGTATTATAAAAATATCATGACAGAGAACTAAAAGTTAACTTCTGGAATAACTATGAAATTCCAGAAGTTAACTTTTAGTTATCTGTCAAAGTAGTTTTATAATACCCGCCCTAAGTTGTGCCCATGGTAGTTATTGGAACATACTAAAATTTGGTAGAACATGACCGCGGTCAGAAATCCCATAGGCCATAAGAAGTGTACCAGGGTCCTTTATTTATAATGCTAGTTTTAAATCAGTTTTTTTGACAATTGATAGATGACACATGACTAAAAATCTACCAACCTTAAAATGGCTGAGTTCGTTCGGCTTTGCACTCTACGGAGCGGAACGGTATGAGCATGGATATCGTGACGTCATAGGCTAAGTGAGCTCCGAACAAGTACTTAAGCCGAACGCAGATCGAATAAAAAAACAATAAAATGGTGTAAATGGCCAAATTCATGTTCTTCTGGGAATGTAATAAACTTTAACTGATTCAGTGTTGGTGTAAAACTGGTGCAGCCCGACTTTTACTAACAGAATACAGTAATAGATAATATAGTTTTCTGGAAATAAATTTATACTCATTCTAGCAGCTAGCTTTGCAACTTGCAAAGAACAAAGAACAAGAACAAAGAATTTTTATTTGATAATAATATTTTACTTAATTCGGAAGCGGAAGCCCCAATATTTTTCATCTAATAAAATATTAGTTTTTTTTTCAAATTTATCTAAAAAAATACAAATCTGGGAAGGGGTAATTACCCCCTCTACCACCCCCATATCTACGCCCTTGGGCGACTAACACCGGAGCGAGTAGCTCTAGTATTTTAGACTCTTGAAAGGAATACAGCTAATATGCGCGGTTTATTTTTGATGGAATGTTGACAGAGAATTTATTATTAAATCACAAACCACTTAGAGCGAATTTCATGGCGGGTGTTAGCGCTTGCAAGCGCCTGTCAGCTTACTTAGCTCATTTAAAAAGTGCTTTTTAAGGTCAGTTCCCACAGGAGTCTCTGACAGTTTGCAAACTGTCAAAAACAATCGCTCAGCTGAGTTACAGTTTTATCTTGTAACCACAGCATTGAAAACATGCATGGGCGATGCTTACCGACAGTTTGCAAACTGTCAGAGACTCCTGTGGGAACAGACCTTTATAGTTAGCTGTTGTTGGCGCTAATATGAAATGTCATAAATGTCTAATCTACCCTAACCCCTAACCTAACATCACACATTTTTTTCTTTTGGTTTTTAGTTGATGTTGGTGGGAGCTGCTTTATTTTCGACGTGAATATACAATTTTATGGAAATACCGATGTCATTAAACCTAAAATTTTTGATTTGTTAGGTTATGTTTAGATTTTGGGAAAAAATTTGAAACATAAATAAAGCCGCTTTCCAGCTGGCGCTTTTGAGCACGCAATCGATCTTTTGCGCGCGCAAATGCTTCAAGCGCGTGATCGTGTTCCAACCGTATTGCGCTTCGAGAGCTTGCTAACTTTTGCGTTTCAAACACAGAACACTGTGCTGCACCGTGCTTGAAGCACACAGCTGGATAGCGGCTTTTGTCATTCAACGGCTACAGTTAGCGCCTCCTGGCGCTTTCAGCGCTAGCGGGTTTACGCTAAGTCCCGTTAAACACAGCCATTGATTGAAAACTTAGGTTGAAAACAGTCAAAAAACTAGTTCAACCAATGAAATTCACTCTGACTGGTTTGTGATTTCTGCAGAAACAGACCTAATATATAAACAGCAAATAGGCAAATTGCTCTGGAGCTGCATGAAATCCAGGAGCGGCAGGAGCAGTGCGGAACTAGTTGCATTCGGGCAGCAATTGCCGCAACAAATTACACAATGGGTTTCAAAAATCTGTACTGAAATATAGGGATGCCACCTTGGAAAGTAAGTTGAACCGGAGGAAAAAAAAACCTTATTGAAAAAACAAGCTGAAAAAAAAATCCTACAAATCTGATAACAGATGCTAGGTACACTCTATATACAAGTCTCCCGATTATCACATACTGCACTGGATAGGACAACCATAGGATAGCCTATCCGCATATAGCCTCTGTAGATCAAATCTCAAGCGCCCCACCACGTCAAAGCGCCAGTGATGACGTAGAAAGCGTGTCGTTCCTCGCCTTGACGTAGGGTGTTTGCACCACAGGCTATGGTTCCGCTGATTTTTGCTTTGTACTTGCTTGGTTTTAGTATTAGTACAATAATAGCGACGAGATCAATCGTTATAAGCCTAGTTCTCATGATGCGGAATTCCGGATTGCGGGTGCGGACTGCTATTCTGCTTTTTTGATGAAGTTTCATGCATATTATGGATTAATAGCAAACCCAATACTAACGTATATTGGGTGGTAGTCTGAATAAAAACGAAGTACTTGCTACTACTACAGGTAGTAGTATATTCTACGAAGTATTTACTTCACAACAAAGGATTTACTAATTTCCTGTAGTTTCAAATTCTAGTATTTGCTTCATTTTAAAGTAAACACTACGAAGAATATACTACTACTTGTCGTAGTAGCAGATACTTTGTTTTTTTTTCATACCTCCCTCTGTCTTTTCCATTGATAATAATTTAATTGTGCAATATAATTATCCATCCAGGCACACAGGAAAACAAAAACAAAAAATATGTTAGGTTAAGATTACATCCGCATCCGGAATTCCGTTTCATGTGAACCATCAAAAATTACGATTTTCAAAAAACTGCGATTTCCGGACTTGCAATGCGGATTCCCGCACCATGAGAACTAGGCTTAGTCAAGTCCTTGTTAGCAAACAATAACCTCAGATGTGCCACACAAAAAAAATCTCATATTGTCATTGACACAATCTGTTGTTTTTGTTAACTAACAAGGACTTAACTAACGATTGATCTAACCGCACTAATGACCGTTTGCACCGACCATTTTAAGGGAGGTTTAACGATAATAAACGCTTAAAGTGACATTTCTACATGTCACTTTAAGCGTTGACTATCGTTAAAACTCCCTTAAAATGGTCGGTGCAAACGGCCATAAACAAAATTCTAAAACAACCCTTTTTAGATCTCGTTTGCATCTTCCGCTTTGCTTATTATGTTATTCAAAATTAAAAAATATTTTTCATTAGAGAGTTATTGGAAGTCACATAACGATGAGCGTTAATAGTGCAGATGTTATTCTGACATGTACGCATGCGCTTTAGATACATATTTTAGGTTCGACATTATTAAAGTTACTGCTTGTCAGTATTTATGTACGGATAGTGCGGTGCAGTAAATAGGATTTATTATGACGTTTACTTATTTTGACGTTTTCAAACATCATTTTTCATATTTGGTTATTTTTGTTTTTGTTATTTTACGAAGGCAACCTCACTTTTATTTTTTAAAAAAAATCAGTTGTTGATACAACAAACAACAATCCTTGTTGTTTTTTGGTACTCTTCAATACATTGGTTGCCTTTACTTTACAACATGGAACTGAGTACAACGGGTTGTGGTACAACATTCAAGACACCTTCGGCAAAAACAAGTAGATTGCGTTTCACATATACAGATGATCTGGTGCTGTTACGAGAATTTCTGGCCCATAATCCCATGGGGAATCAAGATAAATGGGCAATAATTCAAAAGAACGTAGAGCTTACAGTACAAAAAAGTTTTTCTATCCGGACACTGAAATACCATCTACAATTATTGCTGGAATTGTGGCTGAAAAAAGAAAAAATTGACAAAAAAAGGTAAGTGGATGAGGAAATTACAACCTATAATCATTAAGTAGGCTTTTGGAGCTTGTAGGTTTTTTTTTGTGAATTCAATAGTGAGTTTTCTCTTTTTTAGATCAGGGGTTGAGGAGCCTTATTCTGAAAAAGATATATTGCTGCAAGAAATCAGCACATTATGTTCAGAGTCTGATTTTCAAGTAAAGCGAAAAAGGCCCCTTTCTAAAGAACAACACCTGTCAGAACTTGGGAAAAAGGCTCGCGAGTCCCATGCTGTGCGTTTCTATGAAGAGAGTAATGATATTATAACCGAGATAATAACTGAGGAGTTTAGCCCTCAAAAGGACATTGAGATCCATGAGATAGATGATAGTAAAAAACATAAACCTGAAGATGAACATAACTATTGTGAGCCAAACATATAACCTATTATGGTGTTTTTCAGTAAAACTATTTTTTTAGTTGCCTCTGAAGAAATTCAAATCATCAATGAAGTGGCAATAGATTCTGAAGTCTGTGAAGAAAATACCAAGGAAAATACAAGTTGGGTTCAATTACCTGCAACTGAGCCTGCAACTTCTATCAAAAAACATGACCAACCAAGGGTCAGGCCTTTGGGTGAAGTTTTTCAAGGAAATATACAACGAGAAACTCCAAAAAAAGGAACCATTTTAAGTAAGTTGCTGTCCATAAATACTAGTTTATTATCTTATAATAATTTGTAATGGAAAGGAAGTATTTTTTTTTTTATTTATTAGCTATTTACCAATTTTGAGTCAAACGTCTATTTTTAAAATTAAATTAAAAGAACATTAGAATTGGAAGATTTCATTCCTAATGACATTTAAAAAAAATCCTGTTATTTTTACCATTGCATAACTAGTTTAAATTAAAGAAGTAACTGTAAAGTTAATTTTTTGTAGCCCCTACAGGAAAGAGAACATATAAAAGAGAGCCTATGAGAAAAAATGCACTATCTTATTTATCAGAAAAAGGCCAAAGAGAGAATGAATTAAGAAAGAGAGAACTAGATTTAGAGGAGAGAAAACTGAGTCTTGAAGAAAGGCGATTAACACTTCAAGAAAAAAAATATGAAATTGAACAAAAGAGGATGGAAATGGAAGGTAAAGAGAGACTTCATAGAATTGAATTGGAAAGGGAAAGAGCTGAGGCTGAACTCAAACAGAAAAAAGTAACATCACAGCTATTAGAATCCCAACAACAATTAATTAGTAAACTATTAAGTAAATAGGTAATATTTTGATGAATCTTTAAAACAGGGAATAATCTGTGATACAATATAAGTATTTTAAGTTTAGGTTTATTAAGTAGTCGTTCTTTAAAAATATTTACTTATTTACACTTTCATGAGTTTCTTTCCTTAGTAAGTAAGCCGTTCAAGAATTATTTGTGATTATCTGTTTAAAAAGTTTAGGTTAAGTATTGAGAGAATTTATTTTTAAGTTATGTTTGGTTGGAATATTTAAGTTGGTATGAGGTTATACAAGGTGGACTAGACAGACCACTTTTTTGACTCTACCTGTAATTTTATAAAATATCTGAAATAGCCATCTTATATAATTTTTTTTTGCCGAATCTGAAAATGATGATTGAAAAAAAATTAAACATCAATAAAAAAACAGTTAGGGGTCATTTTGATATTTTTTTTTAAATACAAGACCATATTTTTCATGTGATTATCAAATTCCTAGTATATCTTTCGATCTAAAAATTTATATTTTCAATTAAAAAACGTCTACTTTTGCACATTTATCAAGAAAATGTTCGTGTCTACCAGGGCCATCTACACCTGGAATAATATTACTTGATATGGATACCTGTTCACTCTTTGGCAGTAGTGTCATTTAGAGAACTACTGGCCCTGTAGACCAGTGGTTCCCAAACTTTTCTCTTTTGCGCCCCCTTTCTGAAATCAAGGAGTGGTCGCGCCCCCCTTCCTACCCCCATTATACAAAAACATTATTTTTTTTACTTACTGTAACTCCTCTGAACTGGACTTTGGAAGAGGAATAATAGACATGACAGTGGGCAGCGAGCGTGCTCTGTAGCAATTACTGTAGTCCTTTTATACATCGAGTTACACCGAGCGTGTCGCTTTAGAGCTCCTCGGAGTCACTCCAAAACACACAATTCAGAATAATTCAGATATTAGAGAGTTCTCGTGCTGTCCAAATTTCAAATACCGTAACGTTATTTGACAAGTATGATAGTTCTTACGGTATAAGCGTTAGCGGAGCCGCCCGCTACCTAACGGGAGTTAGCGGATGCCTTAACGTAACGCTATGCTATGTCAAAATTAGTTTACGCTCCATTTACGTCTGTAAGAACAGCAACTTCTAATAATTCCTCGATAAAAAACACCAAGGAAAAATTATTGAAACTCAGGAATCTTCAGGATAAATAAAAGTTGGCAAACAAGCAAAAAAAAGTTGGGTTAGATCACTCAAGTCAGCTGTCAAAATGTAAACAGAATAAGGAATTAGAGGATTTTTGTGACTTTGTGTCCGAGAACTATAAAATACCATTTAAAATACCGTATTGTTAGCGGTAGCGTATCAGCATAGCGTCTGAGGCACCGGAACTTTCTATTATCATTATACTTTAATATTAACATTACCTAAAAAAGCTTATTGCACCCCCGGAAATTTGGTGCATCAGGGGAAAGGGGGATGCAGGTTGCACTATGAGCGACTCGAGTGCTTTCACGCACTTTTGAAAGTAACGTTCACGCTTTTGACATTAAGCAGCTCCGAGTAACTCAACGGGTAAAAGGAATACAGTAATAGATCGCATGGCAAAGCTGCTTTGGCTTATGTATGCGCTGTTGTAGGATTGTAGACATCTTTTTTTAAATTTTACCTGATTTTTTATTTTAAAGCTTAAAATTTGTATTAATTGTTTAGAAGACTCACGCCCCCCTCAATGTTGCTTCACGCCCCCCCAGGGGGGCGCGCCCCCCAGTTTGGGAACTGCTGCTGTAGACCAACATTTTCTAGATTTAAACGTGCAGGAAATGGACATTTTTTAATTGAGAATATATAATTTTAGATCGAAAGATATACTAGGAATTAGATAATCACATCATGAAAATTATTGGATAGCATTTAAAAATATATCACTATCACATATCCCCTAACTGTTTTATTTGATGTTCAATTGTTTTTCAATCGTCATTTTCGGATTCGACGGAATAGTTATTTTTGTCACAAGTACCTAAAATAACCTAAATTCCAGCAATGATTCGTCCTGAAAAACTTCGTTAGGTACGTGTGACAAACACTACTTTTTGGCATACGCTTTTTAGAATTCTACAGAACGCTAAAATTTGCAAACTTTCCTTAATTTTTGAAATCATAAAGGTGCATCCAGAAAGAAAAAAAATCCTAAAAAGAAGCATTTACGGACTTGAATGAGTCCGTAAAATAGTTGTTTTTGGGAGCGTATGATAAAAAAATTATATAAGATGGCTTTTTCAGATTTTTTATAAAAGTACAGGTAGATTAAAAAAAGCGGCCTGTCTAGGCCTCGTTGGATAACTTTGTACTGCTTGTATTGCTCTTGAAAAATATTTAATAATTTATACTTTAATGAGTTCCTGTCCTTAGTTTCAAGTAAGCTGAAGATTATTTGTGATTATCTGTATAAAAGGATTCAGAAAATGAAAAAGTGTTTGTTTTATTTTATTTTTATTTAAACACCTAGTTTTACATGAATCAGATTTGAAAAATCAAAATACTATAATAAGTTGGTTGCGAGGAAAGTGGATTAATTATTTCCACAGCAACTTTTATTTTAAAAAGGTTTATCAAAAATTAATCTATTCCAAAATATTCATTAAGTGTCGGAGGTTGGGTTTGAAAATACATTGATGTTTGGCTGCCATAAAGACAGGTATGGCAGTTGGTTAAAATAACGCCTACTTTATACATTTTTTGTAAGTCCTGTAAAAGAAGTTTTTGATTTTTTTTGAAGTCTAGGAAAGCAAACTGTGTTACAATTTTTTGGAAACCCCACTCTACTGCAACTCTCATTAGTTTCATAGATTGATTAAAAAGAAGTTGATGGGGTAGTAAATTCTCTATCCTTCCTGGAAACGGGGTCAGTAGAAGCTCCATCAATCCATAGGCCTGATCACCATAAAGGCAATAATGTTCACCATCGGCAAACGCAGCTTTTGCCTCCAATTCATCATACAACATTGATTCCCTGAAAATCCCAGCATCGTGCCTTCTACCTAGAAAAGGTCCTTTCAAACTGGCAATGATTCCATCTGGGGTAAGTACTGATTGGTATTTAAGGCAATGCTGCCTCTTGTGACCAGAATAGTATTCTTCTTGAAACACTGATGGTCTACAAATTGGTCGAGCAGTACCATCAATGAAGCCCCAACAGTTTGCAACTGCTGCTCCTTTTGCATGGATTGCCTAAAATTAAAAACAATGAAATGAATACATGGGTAGGCATAAGATATAACATGTAACTATAATATTATCAAATAAATGATCACATACCTGAGCATAGTACCGCATTTTTACTCTATCTAGCCATCCCAAATTATTCAGGTTTTCTAATAGTTCTCTACAATGTTCATAAATAATACTAATTGTTGTTTTTATGATCTGCGAGATGGACTGGGAAGACAAACCAAACATGGGACATATATCTGCTAGCCTGTTTGGATATGTCAATCTTCTTAATAAGATACAAAGGGCTGTGAGTCCTGAAAATGTAACTTACTTGGTATTTCATCTTGGTTTACAAAACTAAACTTACCACTAACTCTATTTTGGGTGTCTGTCACAACTTCTTCTGGTAATCCTAAAACTCTAACCAACCTAGGAATATCATTTCTCGAAAAACGGAAATTTTGCTTCACTTCCTCGTCACTGAAGTTATCCAAATTAAAATTAAAGGCTGGTTTATAGTTCCAACCTTTTTCCGTTTCTTTAACCTTATCCGTATCTTTAGCGTTTTCTTTTTCCTTAAGGAAATGTTGTGTTTATAGATTGGTTTTTAAATTTATCCATAACCCTTAAGAATGACATATATGACTTTTAACAGGTGATCATAACACAAACACAAAACAACTGATTTTTTTGTTCTATTCAAAATCTATTTTTGAGCTGGCGTAAGTAATGATTATCGAGAAGAAAAAAACAATTATTGTAGCTATTATTGCTTCATTGTTGCTCCAAATGAGCACAAATGCAGTTATCACTACCTACCTTATACAAATCTTCCAAACGTTCGAGACGTTTCGCAGTGAGACCTATGAATAGGGCAAGGAATAAAGAAGGTTTTTACTATACTGTCTTCAAGGATATGGAAAAGAAAGAATGGGACAGGGAACAGTTCTTTAAATTAACCAGAATGACGCCAGGACTATTTAAGTTTCTATTATCTGAAGTAGGGCCTCACTTAACAAAGTTGAAAAGATCCAAAAACCCCATTTCACCTGAACAAAGACTGCTCATAACAATTCAGTAAGTATTCACTTTTTTTTTATTAGAAACATATTTAACATTAGGACCTTTATCTAGTTACCTTGCTCATGGTTGTTCAATGCAACAGATAGCGTGGACCTATAGAATTGGCAAAACCACAGTGCATTGTATCATTAAACAAGTTTGCCAAGTGATATGGGAAGTCCTTCGCTCTTCTCAGTTGCCTGACTTAAAGCACGAAGATTGGCTAAGAATAGCAGATGGTTATTTTAATCGGTGGAACTTGCCCAATTGTATTGGATCAGTCGATGGGAAACATGTCAATATTAAAGCACCAAAAAACTCTGGATCTCTGTTTTTTAACTATAAGAAAAGTTTCAGTTTAGTTCTAATGGCAACATGTGACTCATATTATAGATTTACAAGTATAGATGTTGGGGCTGCAGGTGGTAACCATGACAGCACTGTATTCAAAGATAGTGGTTTTGGCCAAAAACTATTGACTGAGCAACTGGATATACCCCCAGCTTCATTCATTCCGAACTCAAATATAAAATTCCCTTATTATATAGCAGCTGACGCAGCTTTCCCTTTGCATAAACATATAATGCGCCCATATCGGGGAAAACATTTAGGACCAGAAAAAAACATTTACAACTACAGGTTATCCAGGGGCAGAAGAACTATAGAGAACAGTTTTGGGATTCTATCTCAAAGATGGAGAATTTTGCTAAGACCAATTGAGGCCAGCGTTGAAATGGCAGAGTTTATTGTTCTGGCTACCATA